TAATCACGTTTGTAAAGTGCATCACGCAGACTCGCGCACACCGCAGCTGCTCCTGAGTTGGCAGCAATTATTCCTGATCACTCGTGAACACTGGACCTAGATGGAGGGAAAGCAGTGCAGAGGGTTCCAGTGGGTTAGGAAAAGAGAGACTTTAATGACTTAAAAGTAGATCTAGGGGTGCAGGCGAGCATCCCTGGGCGTTCTCCCGCTAACTCTCACCATGTCTCAGAAACGGTTTCAAGGTGAAGCCTACTAGAGAGCTAAGGGAGGAGTTTGCAGAATCCAGGTTTGAAATGTCATGCACGAGGCGGCGAGAGTCGGGGGGTGGGAAGACAGCTGAGCTCATCTAAGGGTGTTTAAGTTTTTCTGGCCCTAGAGTTTGGCCATCCCTATATGACCAGGGCCTCCGATAAGCAGGGAGTTTATCTGCTCCTCTCCTCCGACCATAGTTCCTGGGTACCCTGAGCCCAGGTCAGTGCTGCTGTGGCCTTTGCATCCTAAGAGCCCATTTGACTCACGGTTGTGCTCAATGGACTGACCCAGAGTAAACAGTAGGAGGTTCCCCTGCTCTCTGATCCAGGGTCTCTTCCTTTCAGTGGCACCGGCCCAGCCCTTAATGTCCATCCATCTGTTCCTGCCCATCCAGGCCTCCATGCTGCCCACTGGAAATGGCCACAGGTCACAAATTGATTGTAAATCTTGAGCAGATTGTCCTGACTCTGCAAAACGGAACATCTCCTCCCAGCACCAGGATGTCACAAGCCAGGCCAGCTGTGGGAAGGCAAGTGGGAAAGTAACGTGCATCACCGAGTGTAGACAAGACAAAGTCGCTCTGATGTCTCTCAGGATGGTTCAGGTCCCTGCAATTGCAGGCCCACAGAACAGGACTGCAGGCTGGAAAATGGGCTCCCTTTCTCCTGTGCACAAAACAGTGCAATGTGCAAGGCTGCCCATGTATAGGTGTGTGCCCAGGTGTGTACCCATGTGTGAAAGTGTGCCCAGGGTTGTGCTCATATGCAGGAGTGTACACAGGCATGTAAATGTGGGTGCCTGTGTGTGGCAGTGTGTGCAGGTGTGCCCATGAGGGTGTGTAGGTGTGCAAATGTGTGTGCCCATGTGTAGGATTGTACCCAGGTGTGTAAAGGCACCCATCCATGTGTGGGAGTGTGTCCAGGTGTGTGCTTGTGTGTAGGAGTGTGCACAGCTGTGTAAATGGGGGCACCCATGTGCAGGAGTGTGCCCAGGCATGAGGGAGAATGTGTGAAGGTGTGCAAATACATGTGCCTATGTGGGGGGGTGTGCCCAGTTGTGCTCCCCTGTTTGGGAGTGTGTGCATGTGTGTAAATGGGTGCACCTGTGTGTGTGGGAATGTGCTGTGTGTACCTGTGTGTAAGTGTGTGCACATGTGTGTACATGTGCATGCTGGTGTTACCAGGGAGTGCTGCCAGTGTCAAATGTCCCAAGCTCAAATTTTTTTTATTTTCCTCACTTACCGCCTCCCTCAGATGTGCTTCTGGGTTAAACAAGTTTACGTGCGCAAGGCCCACAAACAGGCGTGGCATGGGCTGTAGTCAGCGCTGAGTCCGTGTCTTCAAATATTGTCATGCCTATATGCAACCTTGTCCAGGGTGGGCCACATGTACGCCCCTGCCTGGTCCTGACAGAGCAGCAGAAGGGGGACTCAGACACAGCAATGGCCAGGGTCATGGAAACACAGAGACACCTTTCACCCTGTGAGCTTCACAGACAACCGTGGGTATGGGATTCCTATCATACCTTTAAGATTGTTCAGATAAGCACTGACGATCACTCCCACATGACATATGAAGAGAAGAATAATTCCATATGAACCAAACACATGAAGCCCACCCTGAAGCCTGCCGAGTTCTCTCCAGTCCAGCGCGACAGAGGGTGCATTTTCATTGGGACTTTTGAGAGTGTGGAGCAGGCCTGAGGAAACCAGGCTCAGCTGTGGGCCCCAAAGACAAAGCTCTGGGATGGCTCACCATGGCCTGGACCCTTCGCCTGCTACCTCTCCTCACTGGCTGTACAGACGCTGCCCCCAAGCTAAGCCCCCACAGGACCATAAGCCTATTTCTGGCCCTGAGCTAGCCCAGGTGATGCTTCAGTATATGGGATCCTCAGAATGAGCCCCAAAGTCTCCTCAAACTTCAGTTTCTGTGATTTCCTAAAGACTCAGCTACAACCAGTAGAGATGGCCATGAGACACCTGTCCCCATCTGCCCAGGAGAAAGTAGAGCAGGTGACAGTGCAGAGAGAGCCAGCAGGAGCTGGGCCAGATCCTGCATCCAAAGCAGCTCCAATACCCACACATTCTCCAGCTCTAACCTGGGGTACAGCCCGCACCTTCTCCAGGCTGAGGTGGGCTCCTCAGCATGGCTAGTCCATGATGGGGGACATCAGCATGGCTAGTCCATGATGGGGGACATCAGTGTGTCCATGGGACACATCCCTGCTGCCTGCCTGGTTCTCATGCCCCCTCCCTCCCCACCTTGGTTAAGTTCTGCTCCAAAGGCCCCCGGTCCAGCACTCAGGATACTTGGATCCGTTCCTGGACTTGCCCCCGCTGCTTTCTGTTCTCCTGAGCCACTTGGTCTCTTTTAGCCACAGCGTTAGCTGCTGTGAAGGGAGGAGGCTTATACTGAACTGAAGAAGCTTTTTTCTTCATTCAAAATTAAAAAATAGAAAAGCGATGAATGTCGTATTTATTAATTACACCCCAATGAGAGGATGTCATTCAATGGGTTTCAGACATGGAACTTGTCTTTCCTCTGCAGGGATTCCAAGAAAGAGGCTCAAAAAGAGCTTGTTTTCTGCATGGTGGGAACAGCAGCCCCCAGCTGAGAATAAGCAGGAGAGCCTCAGTTTCATCAGGAAAACAGACCAGGCTAGTGTAGAAGTCCTCCTGGCAGACACTCTGAGAAGGGTGGAATGAAATAAACA